CCTTTAATTCAAACAGTTTATACTCTCCTACCTATTGAAAATAAACTCACTTGGCACCCCTTATCCACCCGCCTGCTTTAAGTGAGCCGGGCGCCTTCGGGTGGCCCCCGCTATGCAGCCTATTCACCATATTTCGCTTAACGGAATTGCAGCCGATCCTCTCCACGAGGCGGTCACAGTGACCGTCTTTATGGAGGGCCTCCACACTGGCGTGGCCAAAATGGAAGTCTTCCGTGTGCATCCATCTTCTTTTGAAGAAACGGTGAACGTGGCATTGAAAGCCGAATACAACTTTGAGTCGACACGACTCGGTTGGAATACACACTATCATAGCTCGTCGAGCGGTCATGAGCCAAAGTGCTCAGCTATGCTGAGTGCCGCCGATGAGCCAATGGATCTCAGCTATGGAGTGGCACGTATTCCACTAAGCACTGCTCACGTTTTGAAGCAATCGCTGCATGCCAAAAGTGGCATGGTCGGACGAGGTCCGATGCATCTTGTGCAAGGCCCTTCAGATGCGCGTGAGTGGTACGTTATCCACTGGACGAAGACTGCGGAACTAGCAGCTCTACGTCGGATGTTTTTAATTACATCAAGGCTCCGATGGAGCAGGGGGTGGGGACACTAGACGACGCTAAGTGCGTGTTCCTCAGTGTGTCGACTCTTACCCAGGGTGTGTCTACCGTAGACGATAGCGACAAGCTATACACCCTCGTTAGCGGTATGATGGCGGAAGAAGACGGCGACGTCACCCTTATTCATTGCTTACACATTGATCCACCATACTCGAGAGCTTAACGCATGACGTGCCCGCGCATTCAGCAGATCTCTCCGTTACAGAGCCCATCATTACTAATGGATTGGTATTTCTGAATCCTACACGATCACACAGGAGTTGATTGTGCGTTTTTCACAATTGTACTATCGCACGAAAGTGGAATGTATAATGTGTCCATACAACTTTCTACGGCACGCTCTGCTTTACACCCTCCTTGGACCATACTGGTTGCAGCGAGGTTGTCGTGCACTTTGCACAAAGAAAGCTTTTAAAATACTATATGGTGGTTGAATTTATCACTTATTTTCATTTCTTTCTCGATAAAAACGATATGCAGTCAAACCTCTTAATTTGCGGGTTAAGTTAACCAAGTGTCCAAATTTATAATACTCTTGCCAATATTGTATCGATGCACGTATTAATTCAGGCTCGACATTTGATTGCCCTGATCGAATCTGCTCTGGAGCCAAATGTATGTATGCCCCGCACTTCTTGGTCGAAAGAGTCTCGAAAGATACAATTTTCGCGACCATACGCATGTTTATTCATTCACATTTGCTTGGCTGGTCGATTCTCGACATTTAACGTCTCCGATATAAAGTACATCAGCTAAGTTTCATAGGAGCTCTCGTGTGAACAATGCCCAGCCCACCAACACCAACAAAACTATTTGCTCCGAAATTCGAAAAGTATGGATCGACACTGAAGTCAGCACGCGATCAACTCTTTCAACGCGAACCAGTTGTGCTGATGAGTGCTACGACTGATTCATTGTCGTTCTGATGCGTATGATGCGCCTTTTCGAGAAAATGACGTCGACATGTACGGGTCAGCAACCGCTGATGATTTGATAAATGCAACAATGACACAGTCATTGAAGATGTAGCCACGAACCTTGATGCTTGATGAGGCTGATATCGTAGCTGACGAATAAACGGCTTCAGCAAATGACGGTCCACTTGTTATCGTCTTAATTTACCTCTCGACATTCCCTTATAAAAGTTGTTATCAGCACAACGTCTGTAATACATCAGGACCCAAACACGTAGTACGGAGATACTTTGATGAAGAAAATCAGACAGTGTTCGTAAAGTCCGTTAAAAATTCGTGATAGCTAGTGGTATATGATGCCGTATAGAATTGAAGTGCATTTGTTGTGGTAATTAATTTGTTGATGGTGTCTCTGTCTAGAAACAACGATGAGACCGAAGACTTGAAAAAAAATTAAGCAAGATGAAAAGAAAGGATTTTTTGTTCAGCTTTTTAAATCGCGCTCGTGTTACGACCAAGTGCCTATCTGGTTGATATGGCAGTTTTGTATGTCCTTGATTTTGTATTGTCAAAAATAGAAAAGCCTACGCAACCGCCCCTGCGCTTCAATGAAAGCATTTGCGCTCTAGCGAGATAGTTGAGACCACTGAAGTGTGTTCAAAATGTCAAACGCAGATTTTAACGACATATTCGGCGAGGACCCAAAAATGGAGGAACTCGCGGTGCCCACCTTATCAAACATTGACTTGGACGACGATGGGTTGTTTGGAGCGGACCACAGTGATAAAGTTTCTAAACCTGATAGTAATCAGTATTGTCAAGGCTCGAATTGGGAGCAGATTGGTAGTCACGAGCAGGATGAATTTTTGTCGTGGCTTGATGAAGGAGGGTCTGCTCAGCCTGCAGTCACCGCCTTGACCGATTCTTTAACACCGTCATCTGATTTTGATCCACCACCTGCGCCTGTACATGGATATGAACCTGTAACCAGTTTTGATTGCGTGTCACTTGATGACAGTGATGACTTTGATCAAATACTAAATGGGTCGAATTCATTGCATATGACCAACATGTCAGTCACTACAATGCCATCCGTCTCAATTGATAATGGTTTAGATCACTTTGTTCAAGGTGCTGGCAACTTTACCTCATCAAGTGTGGATGGTTGTATCTCGCTTGGCGACGATGATGATGACGACCTAGAGTCAATTGTGCGACAAGCCAACAAACAAGTTGATGTGAGCGGCTCTCGAGAAAACAGCAATTCGTCGTTACAGATAAAAAGCCAGCTACAAACACCACAAAAGGCGCAAATCGGTACGAATCAGTTTTAACACTCGTGCGATTTTATGATTGTGATCCCTTTTGTTGCGCTGATAAGATGTGACGGCAGCACGACAAGCATATCTTGAAACAGGAGAGCTACTTGCAGGCTCGCGGCTTGCTCTGTGGCATCGCGCGGTACAGGTACGGGCAGTCAACGAAATCTTATGTGTTGATGGTGCAGATAAAGAATTTACTTGTTCTGCTTGCAGCCTAAGAACGAGGATACTGCATCCATGTATGCGGTCCAGACAACTTCTCGCTCACTGCCGAATCAAGCCTTGCTCCATAAGGAGGTCGAAGAGTTGTGTTCACGACTTTTTTCTAGTGCAACTCATGCGCGTGTTCTTCGCGAACTGGGAGAAAACATGCGAGGCACACACCTACTCTTCATCGACAGTGCTGAAACTCTTTTCACTCACTTGTGTAAACAATTCGATATCGACTACTCACCCGGCATGATATTTACTTTCGCGCCACTTTTGCTCGCAAGTGGCTGTGAACCTCTTCATCCCGAAAATATTGAGATTCTTGCAGCTACGTGTCGTCGATTTCTGCCTCACATAAGCAAGAAATCTGATTCGTATGCATTTGCATCAAATCGACGTCCACTTCTTAAGAGGTTGTTATTGTATCATGCGCCACGCCTGGCTTCACACCTCAATCGCTACTTTCCAACGTGGAATGAAGCGCCTGCAGAAGAGTCTGATAATATTGAAAAAAGTGGTGCGATTCCTGATTCCTGGCTTTTCTCTTTCTTCGAGGGCAAAGAGATCGTAAATGATCCTGCCAACTTCGAATTCTTGCTTAAAGTTTGGGACTGTAGTTTGGTGCTGGAGGCTTTTTCGCTGAGTGAGAACAATTTACTATTGACGGGATTCTTCATCACGCTGAACGCAATTGTGTCGGCTGAAAAAGAATTGATGCGCATGACTAGCGAGCAACTTCGCCACTGTATGGCATCGACCCTCGTTAATACGGTGCTGCATGGGGAGATGACAAAAAACAAAGTGTTTGTCTACGAAGTTCGTCGTTTGATAGAATCCACGCCATCATGTATCTGTGCGAAATTACGCAGCTTCGATAAAGCACCGCCGCCATCTTCGATAAAAAGTGTGAACTCTTTGGAAGGGCACTCAACAGGAGCTCCGCAAGGACCCAGCAATCTTTTTGGAGTGAGTAATCTGTTTTCGGCATCGACTCAAGGATTAAAAGATGTGTCGAATTTGATGATTGACGTGCCCTCCAAGCTGCTTACTATGGTTCCTATGAACCCTCTGGCATCTGTGTCGTCATCGGCGATCAATCCATTGACGGATTCTCCTGAAGTTCAGCAACTCTTCTACCTGCACGCTAAAGCAATGGACGTAGCATCTATCTCCGTGACTTTGGAGGCTAAAGAAGTAATTTCATCCGTTTTTGGGGGCATTCAAGGGCACGAGCCAGGATCGCTTCGTTACTTTATTGTCGACTGTCGTGGCCCGGAGGACACGAAATTAGGTCAAGTGCCCACAGCTTTCAATTTTGACCCGGACTCGGTTTCAGATCCTGCCGTACTTAAACAAGTCCTGGCAACTCTTTGTCCACTGAAACATGCTGGAGTACACATTTGCGTAATGGGTCAGGGTTATGCGCACATTGCGGGGGAATTGCGCCAATTTCAGCAGAAACAAGGCGTAGCAGCGATTTCGCCATTCACGTTATGTGAAGGTTTTCTTGAGACTTACGCGAATGATCAAACGCGCATGCAATCAACTATTGAGTTCTTGCTCAAGCACGAGTTCCCTCACGTAAGTGTGATTGATGGAGGATACTCTGCGGCTCACGCTTATCTCTTTCGGTCTCATAGCTTTACTGTGGACGACCTGGCAGATCATGACACACCGAATTGTAAGCTCTGTCACCACGATCGAAGTATGGATACTGTTCTTGCTCACGCTATTGTCGGTCCCGTTTCGTCGAAATCGTCCGAAGAAAAGGGGAACTCGCACAAGGATTGGGAGATTTCGCTGCCTGAGAACCCCAGCTCGAACGATGAATCGACAGGAGACGTCGGTTTTACAGATATCAATCTTTCATCTCCTAGTACCAGCGCCAAAAGTACAACCGGATCGTATTACTCGACCTTTACTGGTGCCTTTAAAAATGGCAGTAAAACACTCTTAAGTCCAACAATGGACGGCACCAAATGGCTTCTTAAAAAATCCGCGGCGACCACCGCTGAATTTGCCAACGCTGCCGCCAATATGGGGACCATTCATTCGAAAAGTCGAACGGGTAGTATACAGGGTGTCATCGGAACAAGCAAACTCCAAACAGCCCATACAAAGGAAACGAAGCCTACAATGCCGAACCTGAGCAAATTCCGTAACTCGCTGGTGGCAATCGGCTCCGAGAGTTTTGATATGCTGAAGAAAGTCGAGTCTGCTATGGAGCATGCTGTTGAGCAAGCTGCAGTGGCTACTACGACAACCACAGCGAAGGTCCGGGTCCCATTTTCTTCTTCTCCTTCTCTGAAAGAAGCGGGGGTTGCAGATTTAGCTAAGTCACCAACGGCCAGCACTTGTACACCTCTTACACCGCGAGGTACTCTGTCGGCTGATCCTGCACATGGCAAATTTTTTAAGGAGTCCACAGACGAGATGTTTACAATTGACGACGATGACGATGACGATGACGATGATGAAGATCAAGATCAAGAAGGCCATTTTGTTCAACATGCTGAAGCAAGTGACGGCAACAAGTCGACTCCATCAAATTTCGCGAATGAGACTCGATTTAACACAAAATCTATTCATGGCGTTGTTAAAGGCAATGTGCGCCAATTAAAGAAGGGAATGACCGTGAGTCGCACACAAATGTTGCCTTGTGCGAGCAGTCCATTCTTTGCGTGTTATAAGAAAAAAGCACCAAATGAAAAAGCTGGAGCTCAATCACGTGGTACGATGAACCTTCGTCGCATAGTTGTGATGGAGAATCATCTCGTGGTGCTGAAATCTGCCGCACGCAATGAAGATGATATCTTCTTTGTCAAATCTTGTCACTCGCTACTGCACATTACGCGGATGACTTGCCTAAAGAAGAATGCACTCATGGTGACCATCTACTACAGGTGGAAAAATGAAAATGGAGAGGTTGTTGATAAACGCAACTCGTACGAAGTTCAACAACGGGAAGATTTCATTAGGGCTGTCAAGACTACGATGGACAAGATGTCGTAAAAGAAATGTCAGAATCGTTAAATGATGACGAATTTGTCATCCTCAAATAGATACTTAAAAAAAGAACTCGCCTTATCTTCGTGCGATGTTGCAAAGGACTCATACTTTTACCTTGTATTAGGTATTTGTCATCAGCGAATACCCTTCCATGTCGGACAAAAAGCGTGAATCACTTGCATCTAAGATTGATGAAGTTGCTAGAAACCAGATTTGGCGTGAACAGCTTAAGACTGAGTACAGGATGGAAAGCGTTCCTACGCTTTTTCAGCTTAATCCCAAAACATGTGTGGTGCTCGTACTCACTTCATTCTTTCTTTGCTATCCTCATTCTGCTATTTTACACAATCATTCTAGTAAGTTCAATCACGTTAAAGCCTACCCAAACCCACCCTGAAGACTTTGGCAAGGTAATCGGCGACCCAGAAACGCGGCAATTAGCCTCTCAACTGCGTCAAGTGACAAAGAGACCCACAGAAAAACAGACTTTACCAAAGACAGAAGCTCAGCGTGTCGGTTGGCTTCATGACATGGCAAACAAAGGAATTAGAGCTGACATGAATCAGCGTATGTTCAAAGGCCGTGGCAGGTCGGTACACGTTACCTTCTTACCTATGATGACCCACACGAGTGATCTGATTCTATATTGTTCTTGATTTTAAGTTGCGATGTTACGAAATTTGCCAATTCTTATTGTACCATGGCAGGCTGCAGTCCGTTCGCAGATAAATCGGCTCACTGATTAATTTGTGCAAGACAAAAACATGCTGTAGCTGATGAAGACGAAAGACTACACTAAAAACAAATTCAAGTATTTCTTCTCCATGTCGATACGCTATGAAAAACTTGACCCTTGTTCATCCTGTCCATCTGAGAAGCACCTACAATACGAAAGAATCGACGGCAGCTCAAAAGCTATCTATTTAAACATCTGCTGGCAAGGGGGATGCTGTCACCGATCCCCGCCGCTCTGTTCGATGAGAAATTCCCTCTGCACTAACCATACTAGTTAAAGACGATTGTTTAGCGAAGGGTGAAAGCATGCTTAAAGTCGGCGATGACAAAGGCTCCATCCCAGCAATTTCGGCATTTTCATCCAGCATTTGTAATTGATTACGCAGCTCTTCTATATGAGAGAGAACCACCCGTCGATGTCCCTTTTTCACTTTCATATCCAGCAAGTCATTTTCATCGATAGTAGCCACACCTCGTAGCGTATCAAACCCATCTTTCTCAAAATTTTGCGCATATTCTTCCATTTTAAAGAATTTAAGCCAGTTGTACACAGTCTCAATATCTGACCCAGAGCCAAAACAGTCGCTAGGTAAGATGATTAAAAACTTTTTCGTTCGATGAAACTTACTTCTGCTCCGCGGCGCAACGCTTTCCGCTTCGTCATCCACTGGCCGACCAGCATCGACTTCGAGCAATAGCGTGGACTTCTCGTCATTGGTTGAGTAATCTTCATTGCCTTCTTCCCATGCCTGTAAATAATTTGCGAGAGAGCTATGACCGGCCTCAAACGCACACCGCGATGGACTTTTATTTGTCTGAAAAAAAAACGAAATTATCAGCAATGAAATGTCACGCCACCCATTCACACCACGACAGTTGCTTGCTAAACATGACTTCTCAGACCTACCAACGTCAGCGAAAAAAACTCGGACGAGTCTCTAGCTTTTCTTATTAGCCAAAATGCACACTCCTTGTTGCCTCCAAGCGCTGCGCTGTGCAACGCATTGCGGCCAAACTATAGTGATTTCTCAACATTATTCCTATCATACCCTGATCATTAGAATACTCATATGTGCACCTTGTCAACGTCGGTCCACACATCAAAGTGGTCGGTCAAGAGCTTCAGTGTCGACAAGTGCCCGAACTCTGCCGCAAAATGCATCGCGTTCTTACCATTCTGCAATCGAGTGAAAAAAATCTTTCTATCACGTAACTTTGTACTAGCTGAAAATCTGTTAAATTACCTTGTCACGAATAAATCGCAAAGGGTAAGCTCCATTAATTTCGGCAATAATTCGCGCAATTTCTTCGTCATCTCCCTCTTCAGCTGCATGAACGAATTTCTAACGGTTTTGTCAAGTAAATTCAACAAGGCATACCAGCAATACACATTGCCATACCTGTGATGTCTCGTACCAACATTTGAGAAACTGAACGCACTTTTGCTTGTGTTTATCCTTAGCAATCTGGTACGCCGTTTTGTTATCCTATTCCAAACATTGCGTAAGTACCGCCATTATGCTTTGATATTTGAGCACATACGCACATAGCTTGTAATATGAATATCAATGCCTTTCATGCACAAGTACTGGATGACCTCCTTGCGACCCTTAGATGCTGCCCAATGCAGACACGTGCCTCCGTACTACAAATAGCATTAAATAAATCATTTTCTATACTGCTTCCATGTAAAGAAGCGTATTATACCTCATCGACAGCATTGATATCGATAGGACTAGGACATTCCTCCAACAGGTACGAGACGACGTCCAAGTGTCCATTTATTGCAGCAGAACAGTGTGCTAAGCGACCAAACTTGTCAGGTGCATCCAGCGGGACTCCATTCTCGACTAAAAACTGCACCACCTCAAGATGACCATAAAACGCCGCATAATGTAATGCTGTTTGGTCATCATGGTCTGTGGCACTCCAGTCAACATTGCTATGCAAACCCATCCACTGCACCACTTCGAGCTGGCCGGACGCTGCAGCACCATGTAGTGCTGAGCATCCATGCTGCATTTTTTAGAAAAAAGGTCCGTAAGTTATCAACAATGCGCTTAAGACCTTCATTCTGTCTTGCCTGATTGCGGTAATTGACGTCGGCTTGCAGCGTTTTGACGAGATGCTCCACCTCCAGAAGCTTCCCACGATTAGCCTTACAAATTAGCACGTCACCAAGTGTGTAGCCCTCAAGCACAGGCGGAGCGCTGGCTCCCAGTGGTAGCTGTAGCACGCGATTCATTAACTTGCAACTGTCACTCTTGTGCAGATCTGCTTAAAATGGCGGCGATATGGGTACACCACACCAAATTAGACTGGGGTTCTCGGTGGCAGAAGAAGTTACAGTATAGTCAGTCCATCAATCGAATTGCTAAATCGTTCTGTTCCAGAAGTCCACCATTATTGTTACCGCATTCTGTCATCCAAAACGTATTCGTTAAAAGCTCGCGACCAGGCCTGTAATTATCCTATATTGAGCTCCAAAAGGAGTTTGGTGGACAGCAGTAAACTACTGAAAATTTTGCAAATTGACAAGAAAAGATAATTGAGCGTATGTTAAAGTGAACGTGTGGCGGTGGAAGAGAAGAAAAAAAATGCACAATTTGAAGGAAAAAGCAAATTGCAAACGAGCGATGGTGAAGCCTGTCTCGATCGACTTGCCGAAATATTATACAATGTGAGTATCGATGAGACTGACAAGAATGACGCACACAAAAAACGATTCTCGGTAGTACTGAACTTGAAATCTCATAGTTAATTACATTAAAAGGTTCTGTCTTGATATAATTATCGTGACATGCACCTTCAGTCTTGCTCTAATCTCTCAATATATGAACTGATTTATGCTTCATACGAATAAAAACGCCAATAAAGTTTAAGGAGAATTCAATCGCTAAGGAAATACATATGACCTTTGACGTACAGCGCGCAATTAAATTCTCCATTTATTCATTTCCGTTTGATTCTGCGATTTTATTGTGAATTGTATGGAATATTTACGCTGCTTGTAACGGTTTCATCGCGTTGCTTCCGTTTGCAAATGAGTCGAACGCCTATATGAATCATCGTGCGAGACCCCTCAGCAAGCAGGCTGCATACAGCAGTGAAATTTCTCACTTCAACAAATTTTTGAATTTATCGAGTCATTACATTTTGCTTTGATTTTCTTTTTGCCTTTTTACACTACATTTGTATACCTGTACATTCGTTAGAACACCAGAATATTTACTGGATAACTTCGAAAGAATGCATTCGAATTGATGAGCATCTATGCTCAGCAACAGCGAGTGCATCATACCGTTCAATGCTCACATCAAGATCACCTAGAAACTTTAAGGATGTTTGGGAATCAATATCTACCATTGCGTACAACATACGCATAGAATATTGTTAGCTTCAGACACTAAATTGTGTAGATTTTGCAACAGGATGCGATGTTAGCAGTGCATCTATTCTCATCTTCTACAAACAAAGTATTTATGTGCAGGCACGCTGGAAACCACAAAGTCTGTCTGTAATTGCATATTGCAGGTAACAGTTTCGGCATGTTAAAAATTAAATGCATTTAGATCATTTTGGCACTTGCAGAATTGTAAGTCTGTTAGTAATGCCAAAGTGCAGCAGGGCTGCCGTAGCTTTGCGCCTAGAGGAAGCTTACTTTAGGTCACCGACCTTACGTTCTTCACAAGAACCAGTACGAGTGTAGCGGA